TCCAATCATGAACCCCTATGATGGAATGTGGGTTATGAGAACTACTGGATCAGTTTGATAAAGTGAGAGTGAGATATAATCACTAGTAGAGATAGAGTGCCTCAATATTTTTCACATTTTCCTTAATGAAGTTGGATCTAATTCCATCAAATTAATTTACAATAATTAATTTGATTATAAATGATTTTTTATTATAAAACTAAATTTTTAGAACTCCTTGGATATTTTATTTCTTCAAAATTGATTTTAAATAAACTTAAACTGCATTTTCAGGTATTTAATTATTCAGAGAGAAATAAAAATACTTATTTTTTTCTAAAAATAATTTAATGAATTTTAAATTATTAAAATACGTTGGGGCCCATTATACTCCATGTGCTCCACCTTTCTAGCACACTTGGAGGAGTGGGCCCACAAGTACCCCATGGGTGGCACGCCCACCTCTTTCATTCTTTTTCTACTTTAGTTGGCTTGCACGAAGGGCTATACAATTAAATGAAATAAAATAGGTAGGTTTGTAATAAGGCTAATTGACTTTTCAAAAGAAGAAAATGCAGAGAGTTTATTGAAAATAAAAGGCAAGTTCATAATGTTTTCTCTATACTAAACATTTGATGGGATTACATTAAACAAACTGACGAATAAGGTTCTAGCATCCAAATTTTAGTCTTGTTTATTTCTTTTGAGTTTTCATTGTAATCTGTGGACTTATGTAAGTGTCCTAGCCGGTTTGGAAAAACAAGAAAATTTAAAGTATATAAATTGTGCTAGTTCACATTGTCCACATTCAGTATGGAACCCTAAATAAGTGCCTAATACAGCAAAAAAAATTTGGGACACTTTGAAAGAAATATTTGCCCTTGTTGCTAAACTTAATTCTGTTTGGGTGGTTATATTTGTGGCTGCCAACAAGGGATGGTCATTGTGGCAACTTGATGTCAAGATTGCTTTCTCCATGGTGATTTACAAGAAGAGCTGTACATGGAGCAACCACCTAGGTTTGTTGCTCAGGGGGACGTCAAATAAAGTTTATAAGTTGAAGAAATCCATTAATGGCTTGAAACGGTCCGCACATGCATGGTTTGAAAATTTTAGTGAAAAACAAGACTCCAGATAATTGTTTTAGTTGTCTATGTTGATGATATTATTGTTACTGGCAATGATCAAGAAGGAATCAATCATTTGAAAGGACATCGCAGATTATATGTTCAGATGAAGGATTTAGGTAAGTTAAGGTACTGTCTCGAAATTGAAGTAGCCAGATCAAAGCACGGCATTAGTTTGTCTCAACGAACATATGTGACTGATTTGTTGACAGAAACTGAATGTTTGGTGCTAGACGAATGGATACACCTATGGATTCAAATACAAAATAAGGGAATTATTTGGGAATTCTGAATAAATAAGTATCTAAGACTAAAAAATGAAAACAAACAGCCGGGAAGACTTGTTCAAATTTTCCTAGGATTATCCACATAGGATTTAGTATACCCTACGCCTGATTTCTTGACAGATGGTGCACTCTGATCCTATTAGCCTTGTTGAATTTTCTGATTCGGAAAGCTAACTTAAGCAATACCTCAAAAAACTACGTTTCAGAAAGCATGAACATAATTAGGGTTAATTGGACCACCCTTTGGAGCAATTAGGGCATGTCACAAGCGTCCCTTTTACTAGGACTGAGCATGCCTCCATCTACAAACCCAACTAGGGTGGTGGATGCCACCCCTTGTACCTATGGGGGTGGTGTACAAGGGGTGGCGTGCCACCGAAAGAGTGAGAGATGAGAGTGGGGCGTAATGAGAGTCAAGAGAGAGAGAGAGTGAGAGAGAGAGAGATAGAGAGAGAGAGGACAGAAATTTGCGTGTAGAATGAGAAGGGACTCACCTCCTTATATAGGCCTCAAAGGCCCCTTAGTATATCTATCCAATTATGACGCACCATGACCAATAAGATTTTAGGAAATTTGTGAGGTGAGAGAATTATATCTGAGCTATCCATCCCATGAATCCCCATCATGCTTTAAGGAGCAATATTAAGAACCTTATCCCCTGAATCATTGATCCCATATCTACTTCTAGTCAAACTAGGATAACATCAATCTAAAAGAATATTCTAGAACTTCCTTAATCTCCTATAAAATTGTAGGAAGTTAATAAATAAATATTTTGGCAAAAATAAATATTTTGGCAAAGAATATTTCAAATAACGAACTCCCACAAAATTAGGATACAATTTCCTTTTTAAAAGATCTTCTTTTAACTAATAAAAACTTTTTACAAAATTAAGAAAACAAAATTGAGAGGGGGGAGCATGCCACCACATTTATGAGGTGTGGACCCCCCATGGGCTCCACAGCCCACCCACGTGATGTGCCACATATGTGGGGTGGGATCCATTAATTGGCTCATGATTCGACTTTGATCGTTCCACATGTGCCCCTCCACACTATCAATATATCAGAAATGCCCTTTTCAAGAAATTTTGTAGCTGAAATTATTTTTATAAATACTGAAAATATTTTCATATAAATATTTCTAACACTAAAAATAAAATATCTAGAAGTGGATTGGTGCCAATTAGTCAAGATAAGTGACTATCAGCGCACTCCACCTAACCTAGCAACCATGACTCTCAACTATCTTCTAAAACCTAACTACAAGAGACCCACGACCTACAATCTTATGCAGAGGCTCATATTGGCTCCCTAACTACAAGAGACCCACGACCTACAATCTTATGCAGAGGCTCATATTGGCTCTTCAAATTGACCAATAAATAGTGGAATCATAGTCTCAAAATGTGGATTACAAGTTAGCCCCCATGATTTGCATTCTAAGACTGAGATGTTGTAAGAGCCAAAAAGCCTTAATAAACTTTCAAGATGAATCCATGTACAATAATCTTTGCTGCCCAATAGATTTATCAATCTATAAATCACAAAGTGGGTGGCACTCCCACCTCAAGCTAAGACATTTGGGTGGCAGTCCCACCTTAAGGTAAGATGTTCATGTAGGATGTCTGCAATAACTAAATGCTTATTATTGATTATTTACTGTACTAAGTAAAGGATTATGTGGGGCATGTTTGGTGGGTGATCAAAAAAATGCTTATTTTGATAATCTATGGTACTATGTAAAATACTTATCATTCGTTGTCTTATTGTATATTTGGTAGGGCATAGTCTTAAACCTCTAAAAGAAAAGAAAAAAAAAGGAAATGGGTTAACGGTGATCGAAATTCATGGCCACTTGCGGTCATTAGATATTGAGGAAAATACAACCCCTTGATCTTTCAATCTAAAACCAAGTTATGGTATCTGCTTGGTTTTACATAGATCCTTTGGGTCAAGCTATGGCATCATCTATGTCTATACCCAATCATCTATGTAAAACTTTAAATCTTTTCTCGCAAAACACTTATCTCCTATACCAAAGGGGATGGGTGCACGATTCCCAAATTATGGGAATTTAGATTCCCAATCCATGGGGACAATGATTCCAATAATGTAGAAATCATGATTCCTATTTCATCGAATCGCGATTCTGGAAGTCATTGAACTGTGTGGGGTCATGTGCGATTCTTGAAAGATAGGAAGCTTGATACCAACATGATGGGATACCAATTCCTACAAATAAGAATCATGGTTTCTATTTTATTGGATCGCGATTCTAATAATTGGGACTCACGCCTCTGATGGTTTTCATTGTACGATGGACTGCAATTCCAGGATCAAGTATCATGGCACATGCAATTTCGAGATTCCGATTGCTGAAACGAATCGGAATCACAAGTGTTTCCAACATCTATATGATGGAGTGCTAAATGAAAATCACCAGAGAGGAGATAAAATATTACATTTTATGCCAATGAGAAGTTGCATGGTGCATGCAGATGTTACATCACAATAAAAGTTAGCTCTATCTCCTCATCTGTACATGGTCCTTTTTTTCTCATGTCCCTCTAATACACAAAAGAATTAAACAAATAAAATGGATACAGTGATAAACACATTTTCCAACAATGTTAATGCAGCAACCTCATCCTAGTACTCTGTCAGAGTTCCAAAGATATATAAAACCAAGAGATTTGGTACCCCCACTGAAGCATACTGTCAGTTTACTCCCTCGGATAAAACTCAAGCGGGCTGCCCGAGAGGCCTGCGCCCCGCCCAGGGGCGGAAATGACCCCTCATTGAGGATATTTTTGGGTCATTTTTTTAATACCAAAGGTACAAAATTGTGGGTTCATTTGAAACCTAAAACTCATTAGAGCCTATTTTAGAAAAAGAAAAATCCAAAAAAAAAAAAATTTCTACTTGGCCACCCAAGTTCTGAGCGCCCACCTAGGCGCTGGGCGGCCTGGACCCCCCGACCACCTAGGTGCCGCCTAGCGCTTTTTGAAACACTGCTCATCCTATGGGTATGTTGCTTCTTGACCACTTAACAATCCACCCCATAAACCAAAGTTGGTCACACAATTGTCCTATAGAATTTACCCTTCAACTTCATTGAAAAACAATTTACATGATTTCTAATAGCAACAATTGAAAAACATTTTAAAAGATCCCCTATCAGTACTGAAGCATGCGCAAGTAGTTCCCACAAATCATATTCATAAAATAGAGCACAGGCATATATTCAGAACAGTATCTAAACAAAATTATTTATAACCATATGCATTCAGCACCATGTTTGAGCCACTTAATTAAGTGTAGCATAAATGGAATCCTTAACCATTAATATATGGTAAATAGAACAGTGCATTGTCTCCAGAAAACATCATATCAAAATATTATTTCAGAAGATAATACCACGTTGCCGAACCATTTATAACAAACAATTAGTAGTAAATTCGGTGTTTGTACTTGATATCTAAAAAGTGAGTTCTCAGAAACTCCAATTATATGAATATCTTGAGGGCTTCATTATTTCAGAATCCAGTTATGCTCCAGTGAGGCATATCGTTTGAAATGAAAATATTATGACAATCAAACATACCGGAGCATGGGTATTGAGGTAGTGTTCCTCAGAATGCTTTTTGGGAACCATATCTCCACAAATTCTACATTTTTCAAGGTTGCGGATGCAATGAGCATAATGCAAATCAAAATTCGGAGCTGGGATATCTCTGTCACTGAAAGCAAATTTGACATATTACTTATATTCATGTTTCTGAAGGAAAATAACCAAAACAAGATATAATCATTTGATAGTAATCATGGGAAGACAGACCGATTAATAAAAGTATCTGACATAGCAATATGAACTATAGTAAAGCTATCACCAAGCTACACGAAAACATATGCATGACTAAACTTCTGTTATGGGGACCAATATAACATGATTTCCCAAAACCAGTTTAAGCAGACAATTAAAATACACTTGCATATAATCGGAAGTATGTATGTATCAATGCAATAACGAGAAAGGTAGGAGCAAACAATTGCACCTTTGCATCAAATGGATCCATCATTCAAACGAAAGGAAATGATAAAGCCTAAACTAGGACAAAAGGGTCAACAAAGAGCAGTATTATTATCGAGCTATTGATAAAGCTCCAGGCGAGTAACATTATGCACCATTCAAAAACTATCTATAGCCTATCCGTCTATCGCATATTCTAGTCTTGCCCACCTTTCCAACCCATTCTTTCAGAAAGATAAATTTTCCTCCCGAGATACCATATGAAAGAAATATAGGATTGTGTTCTTAGAGAAGACAAGAGGAAGTATTAGAGATATTTCTCCATCATTAAGTGAGCAATCCTAATCAGGTGATATATATGAGATACAAAGATCCTCCATCATTAAGTGAAAACTCCTAATCGGGTGGTATATAAATGAATTACAAAGATCAGGAAATGAGATGCCTTTTCTAGTGGAATTACAAACATACCCTATTAAGACCGAAGGCCAATCAGCTGTTACAGCTGGATATTGAAGTTGAACTAACTTGAAAATCAGTGAAAAAAAAATTAACATTTAACTAACATTATCATGTACATCTCCAAATCCACATCAATACGTCAGTATACCCAACAATACAAAGGATGAATATAGCTTTGTTTGGAGTGCTTCTGATGTATTGGATGAAGTGACGTGGTTTCTTTGGATCCATCATAACTCAACGGATAACAAGAACTGCATGACCTACGTTTGATTGTGTGATGAACAACAAGTGACTAAGAGTCCAACACTACCCACAAGCCGTCTAAAGAGTGGCATTTTCCTGTAGCTCTCAAAAGAAGTTCTTCACATTTGCAAGGTAGTGCGGAAACTCTTACTGTATGTGAATGAAATCAAGCTATGAGATCAATGATCAAGAGCAAGATTATGTTGACTAAGACTCTAAACTCTGAGCATTTCACTACACTCCCAACAGGTAAAATGCATAGCAGAGGTCTTTAATGAAAATTTCTTTGGAATATAGTATTGTGCATAGCACACGTGACTAGCAGGTAATCCACATAGAATTGAAATGTTACTCCACCCACCAGTACTAAATTGTACAAAAGCAGAGTAATTAGGAGGCTGTCTTCCAAAATCTAAAATCAAAATAAAAAAACAAGAGATTTTTCTGTTTTTTTTTTTGGACATTCACAAAAGAATATCATGGCAATCATTAAAAAAGCATCACATGGATTCAAAACCAGTTCAAACAGTAACTCTATAATTGAGAGGATCATAAGGGAGGGCATGACAAAAGGTTTGATCAAACTAGAGTTTCCAAATCAAGCCAAGAAGGGAAAAACCATGTGGTAATGAGGGAGAGGCAACAAGAATCAACTTTCAGTTAACAATCAACAGGATTTTCACTCCCAATATGGAGCTTCTACAAGGGAAGCAGGTTCTATAAGGGGTTATGGTGTTCTGGCATAAGTAATTAGACCAAATGTTATTCGATGGAAACACATGTGTATGTTCAGATGATCCAACATTCCTAGAGTTACACAACTTATGAAGAATAAATGATAAGACCTACATCCCTATCTTGGAACTGTATATCCCCAAAATCTGCACCCCATAAGTTTTGTTAATAATTTGTCCCAAAAAAGAGATTACAACACAAGAAAGCAATTAAATATCAAGTCGACAATCACAAGTACTTTGGGGTCAGTGAGGTCAGGATTACAATAAGAAAAACAGTGTAATGGATGGAAGGTTATTAATTAATCAAATAGGCAAACTGTAGGAGCTGCTTCAAACCAGATCAAATTAAGAGTAACTTTATAATAATATTGCTACAATTAGCACACAATATAATAAACTATAGATGTCAACCAAAATCAACCAATATGCATCATAGACTGTCCAAGTTCAACTCTTTTTTTTTTATGAAATGATAATTCTGTCAATCTTGAGTTGAACCCATTAAATGAATATATGCATAAGCATAAGCCAATTCACTACTAAGTTCAACAAAATCATGATATAATTCTCCTAGGAATTGGCTTTCTATAGAAATGACACAATGACATTCATAGAAGGCAAACATTAATTTCAAACAAAAAAAACCAAAAATATTCTTGGAAGCTTTGGAGAAGGCTGCAATAAATAGAACAAGGAAATCACCCTACAATAAATATGTGGCTTCGCTCCCTCAGTTGCACTCCTTATTCCTAACAAACGACAACGCTGGACTTAACCCACGCCAATAAGCTGCAGCTCCTAATATTTTAATCACTTATCTAATGGTTCCCATCCATTGCTTACCAAACATTAGGACCATACCACAAATCATAAAAAAAAAATCCATTTAACCACAAAATAATTCTCAATTGAATTCAAACAAACTTTTCTTATCCAAGTTGGCATCTCTAAAAATGTGATTATTTCACTCCTTCCAAGTCATCCACATTTTATGGCATTCAAGTACATGTAAGCCGCTAAAGACCCATCCCGTAGCTTCATAAAAATAAAAATGAGTGCTCAAGACCCAAAAACCCATGTAAAGACATTTGGGTCCAATCTTATGAGAGTTCCAAAGGAGATAAAAGCATAATTGGGGGCTTCTGTAAGTCATAGTTATGAACCAGATTTTGGAATTCCATTTTCACTTAACCAAGTCATGTCAAAGACTAGAATGCATGGAACTCACTCAAAAACTTCCATATCTGTATTAGAAGGGCATAGTCAGAGGTCTTGGTCTTTTATCATTAAGGGTTGGGAAAGGGTGGTTAAATAAATCGAAAGTAAGGTTAATTCACTTGCAACACCAAATTTCAGCTTACCTTTTCCTAGAAAAATCAGAAAAAAAAAAAAAATCTGAGTTACCTATCAATATCACCCATATCACATTTACCACTAGAGGGATCAATAATCAATTGCAGTGAACCAATTCACAACGTCTCACTGTCAAAAGGCCAGTATACTATCGGAGCGGAGATTTATTTCTCAACCCACTATACTTGCAGGTTATCCAAGCCAACGTTTCCCTTTGAAAAAGGAAAAAGAGATATGACACTGAATATCCATGGGATACATGGATGAATTACAAACGGATGAATTACAAACCAATGTACCCTGAGAATCAGGGCAGACCCATAAAGACTGATCAAACCAGACCAGCCATCAGAAATCAATGTAATTTTGAGATCCACAGTCCCATAATTCAATCCATAACTCAAACGTAGACTATCAAACCATTGAAACAACAAAAACCAGAGATTTAAACCTTCACTATCCGCATCCAACAATCAAATCAATGAATTATTCTCAAAAAAACAATCAAATCAATGAAGCCCAATTCTATTTTAGCCTCGAAAAGCCAAAACACTCTCACATTCTCCCCAAAAAAAGGAAGAAAAGTACAGAGAACACCAAGCAAAAAAGCAGATACCAACAAAAAAGAGAACAATATAGAGTAAATAAATTAATAATGCATAATTATATATAACGGGAAAAAGATATGAAATTTTCTGAGGAAGGGGTTCCATACCAATGATTACAGAGAGTTGTGGAGAATTCCGTACTAACTGCCATGGAATTCATTGATCTTTCTACCTGCACTGAACTCCACCAAACCCAGAAAGCAGAATTTACAAAATATGAAAAAAAAAAAAAAAAAAGAAAGAGAGAGAGAGGGAGAGAGAGTACAAAAATAAAGAAGAAAAAAAAGAATGAGATCCCCTGGAAGACCTTGGGATTGAAGTAAAGGAGGCTGCTTTGCTCCGATTACAGAGTGAGGTAGAAAGAAAGTCTTCCTTTTGTGGCTCTAGCTACCTTTTATTCTCGTTTTCTTTGGTTCTCTCAATGGGAAGGTTACCAAATTGCCCCTGGTTTTGTCATCACCATTCATTATACAAAGCGATGGACAAAAGTCATCGATCTTGAAAAAGTTAAAGAGCAGGAAATTGACATTGGTTGATTATGGGAAGAGGGATGGATGCATGGATGGACGGTGGACGGTAATATCCCTATTATTATTGTACCGCCTATGCTTTCCCTTGGCGGGACCCTACTTCGATGGGTGACCGTCCGTTAGACCCGACCCAGGTCTGATACAGGTCCAAATATGAGATTCGGCGGGTTGCATCGAGGTCTGGGTCCCACATTATATTTATGAGTTTTTTATGAAATACATTTAAATATTTAGATATTTTAATTTTTGGGTTGGGTCCAGTCGAGTCGGGCCTAGGTCTTGTATTATATTTTCGGGTCTGAGTCTGATGACTTCAAGTCTGGGTCCCATAATCTTTTTCAAGTTCGGATCTGGCCTTAGACTCGAATCTACCCTCTCGACTTTTCTAGAAGGATTTCTTTTTAATCTAAAATTTTTGGGAACCATTATAGGGTGCGGTTTCTATAAGGTTGCAATCTTAAACAATCCAATTAGGGTGCACCTTAAAATTTTATTGTAACATGTATTTTTGTTGTAAAAAAATACTTAGTATTATCTTAAAATCTATTTTCATGTGTAATTAGAAAATTTTTAATTCCAAAAATGGTTAAAATCAAGTAGATCTATAAATATATGAAAATCTTGAAAATGTACAGTCTAGAAAATGTGTTGTAAGATGAACTATTTTCAGGACTCAAAAATGTTTTTTTTTTTATATTCATGCATCGCTATGTCGAGATGATCGATTAGAGGGTTTTCTCAATATTAAAACAACATTTCCGATAGATTTTTGAGGTGCATATGTGATTCTACATTTTAAGGTTGTAACCTTATATAAACTTTTCCCTATAATAATTACTAGATGATTATTCTAAAAAAAAAAAAATTGAATTTTGAGTTTTGTGACATTAGGTCTACCCTTTAAAAAATTCGACGGTTTCTATTCAATCTTCGTACATTAGTTTTCTCGGATACATAGAGAGTTTATATTTTAGATTTTGTTTTTACTAAGATTACTCAATGGTTTGTAGAGATTACATTGACACAATTTGAGGTCCAAAATGTATCCCTAGTATGTGTTTTTTCCGATGGAGTAAGTAGATAGCGTAAAGTAGAAAATCTTTCCCAAAGATGGCAGCCACTAAAAACAGTTGGAGCTTTCACCAGTCAGTCTCATAATCTATCCGCCTCTGATTAATCTCATCCTCTCTATGCAAAGTGCTGTATCTTATTTTTACTGTCCTCATCTTCAAAGAAATTCTCTATCTTAAAGTGTAGCGACTTTGTAATATCAACTAAACTAAAGGGCATTAGTGAAAAAAATTGTAAAAATTAAAGAATTAACATTTGTTTATTATTCTTTAATAAGGCTAATTTAATGTTTTTCACCGAACAAGGGACCCGCATTTAAATACTCTAAAAAGTCCACAAGAGCAGTAGGAAAAAGAAATTGAGTTGACAAAAAATTCCTTTTTTATCGACTTAATTTTTCGAAAGATCTCAAATAATTGGAAAAAAGTTATGATGATGACGAATTCTTTGAACACATCCCTCCTCGGGCTTCATCTTAATGCACAAGTTTGATAACCTAAATCTAAATTTCGCGGGGAAATTGTATTCCTAACATTTCGGTAGAACTAAGGGGCATGTTTGACCGAGATTAATTTTGGTGAAATTGTATTTTGATTAAAAATCTGTAAAACAGAATCTAATTGTTCTTAAGCTGTAGCTTTTTTAAAAAAAAAATTGTGAATTCATTTTTTTTATGGTTAAACTTGGAAAAGTGGAAATTTGGGAATCTAGAAGTTAGCATATTCGTCCAACAGTGGAGATTTTCTTGGTCATAGCCTATCCACAATAGGACAACAGATAGAATCATAAATTCTTGACTGAGTATGATCTATTATTAAGATCACATGGTATAGTAAGGTACATAGTTAAAAGTTAGATTTGTGTTCCCAATAAACATTGTCTCGAGAAAAGCCAAATAAAAAGTTTTTCTTGGTTCTTTCATGACCATTCTCATACACTATAGGACCATTCTCATATACTATTATATCTTATGGACATGTATACAATAACAATATTATTTTTGATACAAGGAAGTCACAAACATTATCGGATGTCTGATGTGAAATTAGATATTGGGAATGTGTCATTGACTAGGCAGAAGGTTGAAAATAAAATTTCTTGAACTATATGACACATTTTGAGCCATTAAAATTCACATCCGATGGCTAAGGATAATTTTGACTTCTTTGTACCAAAACTACATGGTCTCATAGTATAGAATCTCATATTTTATATATCAAGTTAGTCTTAACTCAGTGTGGGCCTTTTATATCTCTCGGTATAAAGAGATGGAATAAATTAGCTTAAGGGAAAAAAATAGAACCAAAGTCCACAACCAACCCTCCAACCCTCCAATCCTGTCTAACAAAGACATGCTTATGTCATTAGCCATTTATTGGTTCATTCGTATTGTGAAATCCCTCGAAACGAAAAGCTCCAGTAACCATTGCCAAATAGCAATCATTTAAATCTAAAGTCCAAACAACTGCAATCCAATGGCAAACTGGATAGTCGTATTTGGCATGACTCCTTGGACATGATCTTCGTGTAGCAATTTTATAGATTAGGAAATCTGCATTACAAAGCTAGTTTGTTTATCTAAGCAATTGAGCATGATCTCCATCTATGATTCAAAGATACACACTGAGGTGGTAGACATGATAGCAAATGGCTTGGTTCATTGAGCATATGACCTCCAGCTAGCATGTCTTATTGACCTTAAGATTCAGATTGCAAGGTCGAAACAATAACAAATGGCAAGGCTCTTTGAACATAATGTCCAATTATTAATCATTGTTACATTTCAATATTAACTTATCAACGTCCAATTTAGATAGCTTGAGCATCCATATAAGATCATGGCATGATTCAATGTTTTACGGGCTATCGATTTGTTCAAGTGACACAAATCTGCCATTTGGGGTGATGTGTGTTAGCTACCTGCTAATGTGATATTATCCACTAATCATAAGATAGAAATATACCTTTCGATATGATGCATAAATCCATCTTTTGAAATGATGAATAATACAAAACGCAAGTGTTCGATATATTTTTTAGGACACTAGCAAGAGAGAGAGAGAGACCATTGATATTATCCATTAATCATAAGATAGAAATATACCTGTATGAATCCATCTTTTGAAATGATATATAATACAAAATGCAAGTGTTCGACATATTTTTTTAGGACACTAGCAAGAGGTATGTGTATGAAGTTCATTATGTGGTTGATGATTACACAATAAGTCATGACAACCACATAATTGATATGTGGTTGATGATCATACAGTATGTTACCCACAATAAATATTTTATAAGGTGGGTTTCTTGAAAGGGTAAAACACCTTTCCACAAACTTTCTACCCCTCTCCCTTGCAATTCCTTGAGGGCGGCGAGCTGGAGATATGTCTCTCACTGCCATGAGAACCTTTGTTGTACTCTCTCTCTAGGTTTGCTCTTGCCATTGGGTTTGTAATAGGCCATTCATCCTATCTATTTTTTGGAGAGGGTAATATATTTAGATTTGTCAAATTTGGAAAAGTATAAAATGAGGTTATTTATCTTTCGTATAAATTGATCACAATTAATTTTAACCATTGGATGTGAAATTAGGCGGTTGTATTTATTTTATTGACTAAGCTCAAAATGAAAAAAAAAAAAAAAAGATTTATTGAAGTTTGTAAAACACCCAATCTATTAGATTTCATGTTGGATGGGTATAAATAATTTTGACCTTCTTGTAAGAAAGGTAGATAATCTCATCTTATACAATCCCTTTAATTTTTTAATGCTCTGTCTTGAGGTTTTCTCTTTCAATCTCTTTTTGGGGAGCCCCATCTTTCACAATTTTCTCTTAAGCTAATACAAGGGGCCTGCTAATCCCTAAAATCAATGATTTTGTTCCTTTTATTTATTTGCTTGTATGGTGCTCGAATGCTACTTGAAGTTTGGGAGAGAAATGCACAAGCAAGAAGAAGATTGGAAAGTCAAAATCATGTTTTATTTGCACTGAATATTGGGTAGAATTTGAGGATTTATTGGAAAGCTATTTACTTTTACTTAATTAGAAAGATAATCATATAAATCCCTATCTTACTTACTGGATTTTTATTTTGGTTCATTTTGCATTGAGTATATTATTATGTCGAATTGAAACAACGAAATAAATATAATCCTGAATTTTTTAACATTAAGGAATTCACAATAAAGTATTGTGACTTTTTTTTTATATCAAAATTTGCTTATGTTAATGAACTTAACTCGACCTTCTTCTTTTTCCTTTTTTGGGAGAATGACTTAACTCGACCTTAGTTGGCATGCTTAAGAAGTCAAATTTGGGGCTAGTAAGTCTCTCTCTTTGTATTATTTTTTTAATATTTTATTTTGGTGCGATTTGGTCATATATACACACGTCTCCAATGTTAAATAAATTTGATTAGTACAATAATTATAAAAATTTAAATATTACCGGACAACTGTGACCGTGTGATGAACTTTGGACGGTGATGAAGTGTAGGAAAAGTACTGTAGAACTTCACCAATAGGCATTTTGTAGATGCTCTCTCTCTCTCTTTCTCTCTCTCTCTCTCTCTCTATATATATATATATATATATATATATATATATATATATATAGGCAAAAATAAACAGTGATTTTGTCTATCCTCATCACCATCCAAACTTCATCGCACTGTCATAGTTGTCTAGTAGTGTTTCAATTTTCATTTTTTTCTACAAATCCAAATTACTTGAAATTTGAAGCGTGTGTATATCTTAGTGAGACACATATATA